GTGGATGACAAACTGACAATAGCAAATACGATTAGTTGTTGAGTTTTGGAAGTCCAATACGGTGTGGTGATTTTACTGAGAAAAAAGCATAAAGTAAATACCCGTGTTTTTGAAGGGTGCATCTTCTATATGAGTATGGTAATAAAGCTTGGGGCCGTCACAAAGTTACAAAGATTCAAAAATAATTTAAGGGAGTCGGACAGACGAACAGACAGAGAGAAAGACAGACAGCCAGGTAGGCAAGTAGGAAAATTTTTAAAAAGATACGTAAGAAAGATGTGCACACCTTCCCATTCCTGGTAACGATGGCAAATTCTAGAATGCTCAAAACCACTCCATCCGTGTTTAACGGCGTACTTTTTTCGTTTTGCATCTCCATAACACACCTTATCTCTTTCATTAAGCGGCATTCATTTAACAGATCCATGGTAAACTCTTTACAACGATCACTCTTTCTCAGCCATGTTAGACTATTCCTTTCTAATTACGCATGCGCGTTGAACAGGATCAGGTCGCTGAAGGGGTTTTGAAGAAATGATGCTGCCATGTACATGGGACTTGCAAGAGCTCGGTATCTGTTTAAACGAAACAAAGTGAGTCCCAGCTTTCCATCGAGCTTGATATCTGAGCCAACAGGATTTTAGTTTTCAATCGTTAAGCTAGGAATGGTGAATCCATGTTCCAAAAGGAGTTTACAATTTTGAAATTCTGCAAACAGGCCGCCAGGATCAATGACATTGATATTTCAAACTCATTAACTCCGAAGACGTCCGCTTTGATGCTGAAGGATCATGAATTTGGAGCAAAATGGCCACACCTTCAACATCGCTTTCGCGCACGGCGTGTAACAAGGTGTGTTCCAAGTCGGCTCCATTATGAAGTAGCAAATTAATCATGTTTTTTCGTACAGAAGATTCACTTAATTCTGAAGCAACTTGTAAAACTATTTTACCAGAGTTTACAATATTTAATCCGAATTTCAGCGAGGAACCTAAGGCGATTTTAACTTAATCCAAATCTCATTTCGCTACTGCCATGAAAAGCTTTCGTTCCCCTTTACGTACTGGATTCCAACAAATGCTATTCACTGCTAGCTCTTGGTGGAGAATATCTTTGCCTTCCATTACAAATTATGCGCTTGATATCTGCGGAGAAAATTCTGTACTATTCAATTTAGCCTCTATCTGGAAAAGTCTCCGGTTCACGTCTCCAGCCGTTTCGCTTGCATACCAGGTTCGCACTGTTCACATGAACAGAAACGAAACGATCATTTAAACAAACCGTAATTTGTTAAGCAGTTGAAATGACGAATGGCTTCGGTTAGTATAAAGCGCTGCCGGAAAAAAATGCCAATCAACAACAAGGTACCGCCTCTGAGCTTCTGTGTTCATGTCTAAAAAGATTGGTGCTTCGCGGCAGGTTTAAACTCAAGTAAACGCAAGTAAACCTGCCAGATTCTTAATGCAAATAATCCAAGCTTCTTATTGGAAAGATTCTAGATTCAGTTCTGACAGGTGAATACCTGGCAAATCTACAAACACCGTTCCTTTCACGTGTCAGTGCCCTCTGAAGATCGTGGTAAATAAAAGTCACTGAGACGATGAGATACTAATAAGAGGTGGCTTCCTCTTCAGTTTGGTCCGGAGGTAATTCATAAATACACTATAACATTAAAATGGAATATAAATTAAGGACACTCGAACTGGTTCACTGACGCAATTTGAAAGAACAAACCTGAGTCGCGCACTCCAGCTCAGAACCGAATACACATGTAAAAAATGGCTTTTGTTTGCGCTGAAGTAAGAGGGAATAATGGAACTTAGTTAGCGATGTGTTTAATTGAAATGGGATTTGTTTAACGACTAAAATAATTTCTTTAAAAAATACACAATCCCCTCGCGCAGGTATTTTGACACCAATTAACAAATGGTAAACACCACAGCGTACACTATTGAGTTATGGATGCACGCGGGAGGTTGCTAAACACGAAAGAAGCGTAAGAGTCGCTCGAGGCGATAGCCGAGAGCGACTCTTGCTGCTTGAGTGCTTAGCAAACCTCCCAAGTGCATCCATAACTCAATAGTGTACGCTGTGGTGTTTACCATTTGTTNGAAACGTGAAAGAGCAAGCTGACGTTTGCCGTTTCAAGTAAACGCGACGCTAAATCTCTCTAATAATTGAATTATTACCCAGTAATTCAAGAGAGAATGAAGAAAAAAGTATTCGAAACGGTATGGCAGATATGATGATATGATAATGGTCTTGTTGTTTATTTGTTAGACTTCGAGCAGCCTCTCCTTTTCAGCGAAATTATCCGCGGGAGATAAAAAAAAAACATGAAATAAAATTGACATAAGCATGCCACGGGAAGCTCTACTTTTCACTTTCGCACCTCGGGAGTTCCAGGAGTTGGACGCTCCAAAACCCACATTTCAGCTACACTACTCAACAGACACTAATATAGTGAACCATTAGGTTTATTTTGCATGTTTCGGCCGAGCACCAGCGTAGAATAATGAAGGAACACATACTCAAAACCATTGCATTTTCAGTAATCGTTATCAAAGCACACGACAAAAATACATACCGAGAGCTTAGCAACCCCTAACAAACATCGTGGTTAGAACGGTGGCCAGAAAAAACCCGCTGTAAAAAACCCCGAAGGGAAAAATAGACTGGAAATCTGGGTAGGAACCAGGCACAAGCTCACGTAACCTTCCTACAAGGCTATATGCATACTTACAAAAAATAAATAAATAAACAAACTTAGCAATAGCTGAGAAGGTGTCGGCCTATAATGATTGCCGACGTGCAATCACAAGCTTTAATACTCGTATCACTATACCCATAATGCATCTATACTCAAGGGCCCAGGCCCTTGTCCTGTTGCTCTCGTGCCGCAGAAATATTTAATTTCCGGCTTATTCGTTGGCACTAAAACGCCAGAAATTCCATTTTTCGCAGTCACAGGCCTAACATTAACACCATGCGCTTTTAAAATCAATTTATTAATCGCTTAATTCTCAAGTATGGCCTAGCCTTAATGTAGCAGATGTATCAGTTAATGTAGTAATCATTATTATTATTATAATTACTATTATTATTTTTATCATTGTTATTATTGTTATTATGAATAACCTGATTATATCCTCGCAATTTTGATCTACACCCGTAGAAGGGGTATCGAATGGTCTTTGCGAGCACGAGCAGTTGCCAAATTCTTCTTGCGAGCAGCGAACACTTTAGAAAATACAGATGGCGAACAGCGAGCACTTTAGAAAAATACAGATGTCGAGCAGCGAGCACTTCGAGTACTTCGTAAATTTTCCGCAAGCCGGAATCTCTCTTTTATTAATAGGATATGTTGTTTTGCGCCAAGTAATAGCTAATAATCTGGCTGACACTTCCAAAACAGAACAAAAGGTGCAAAGCTAGGGCGGTTTAACCAGTCCCAGCATTTTACAGCCAACTGTGCTCTACTTGATGCCAAATTACGTCACGTAGCTTCACATGAGTCAGTCAGGGTGGACGCTCAAGAACTTCAAGAGCTCTCAAGGAGATGTACTAGATCCAAAGCCCGCGATCTAAAGTTTTCCATCTCTTACTACCCGACACTAAAATGGATGGTATGTTTTTTTGGTTTTATAGTTCTTATGAAATGTAAATAACGTGACATTTGGTCTAACAAGCCCTTTGGGCTTCGGTTTCGATGATCCGCAAACTGGTTTCCCGCTGATCGACTCAAAAAGATTCAACGCAATGAAGCTTTATTTATTTGGAGGCTTCTAGAATCTAACCAATTACAGCTGTACAGATCTGACAAGCTCTAGTAGTAGCTGTGAAGGTCATATAGTACTKGTAATAGTAGYATTTCTCTAGATTACATTCTACCTTCGCGGGTGCCTTTCGAGAAGAATTCTTACATTTCGTGTTTCCGCGCGACATTGAGACATTAAGTTTCTAGACATGTCTCCTCGTTTGGCTAAGCCTTTAATTTTTAATCACAATGATTAAGGCAACATTTCATTAAAGAATTTCTGGTAAACCCCAAACGACCGAGGGTTGTTGTTAATGTTGTCTTGTTTAATCGCGTTTCATATGCCACCGTTTGGCATCAGATTTTAAAAGTTATTATTACTAGTGGCTAAGAAGCTTCCAAGGTTGAAAAAACCGATACAAAAATGCGATCCGAGTACACTGTTTCAAAATATTATGACTCCGTCCATTTTGTTTCTCATTGCACACTGGAAAATCCATCATGTCTACAAACCCTGATAATTTGCTCAAATTAATGCGAATTTAGATCAGCAAAGGTTCGCAAGTAATGTTATCTCTACAGGAGGTTATGTCACCTCCCGTTATGTCGAACTTCCTATCAGAAAGAAGGTTTAAGTCATTGGGTAAAATACCCGGGAAAAGATACAACAATTGTAAGGCTAGCTTCAAGCTATGAAAGCGAATCTACTGAGGGAAAAAGCAAAACCAGTATTAACA